TGTGCACCACCACACCTGATGAGGTAGGTATATTAATGCAATAACATGCCAATGTGTTTAGCACAATGATTCATACACTAATGTCTGAATGTTTATAGTTTATCCAAAAAGCTAACGTTCATGGACATTTCTCAGCCTAATTAAGTGTATTTGAGAGGTTCATAACACATTAAAAAGATATTTAGCTTTTGGTTGGTACAAGGTAACTATAACTACTAAAGTAATTTTTTTTTAGACAGATGTTGATTGCCACAGGCTGCAGGAGGCAAGAGCTAACAATTGGCTGCTTAGTCTCATAAAAGCTTCTAGTGACCATAAAGAGCAAATTCTTAAAAGGGCATAAGGAGGTGAGCCTAATAAATTGGCCAACAATTTTTGAAGTTACACCTACTGTCTACAATTTCCTACTACCAGACCACGAACTCAATAGTTAATTAACAGAATGAGCCAGTTAAGATCATTTTCACAGCAAATTCTTGAGCAGTCAATCAGTCTATTGCCAATCAGAAGCAATAGCTTCTGCCACCTAATTTCAGGGAAACCATGTAAACCATTCAGACAGATTTCTGACTTTTATTCAAGTTACAGTGAAACTTGGTCCTAATTCTGCATCTAACAGAAATGAAGAACATTTGCTCATAGTCACCTAAGGAAACTTAGACACATGAATATTCTCAGCTCTTCTTCAACGATTTTTTTTCATGATAAATAACTTTATTCTCTTAGTCTCCCACCACCACAAGCTCTAACTTACCAATATTTTGCACAATCTGTGATCCTTCAGATTGTGCAAAATATTGGTAAGAGTTAAAAAGGTTAGGTCACGGTTACTGTCTGGTAAATATCAACTTAAATTTTATCTTTGATGTGCTTGTTGGTATGGTTCCAAATATTTGTATATATACACAAGACAGAAAAATCAGTTCTTCCACATTATTTCCCAGACTGACTACTCTGCATGTACCCCTATGTAGTTTATTTTGTTTAATACTTGTCAATTTATAGGAATAATCTGAATGTATGTACTTCATTTTTAATTTTGGCATTTTTCATTGAGGAAATGGGTGAACCACACAAGATCTCACAATAAAGTCTATATGAAACTACTAATCACCATAGATTTTACTTCAAATTAATAGTGATTTAACTCTTTGGGCTACTATAAATGCTCTAATAAGGTCTAGGCTTAAGGACACTGGTCTTTCCAAGTCAAGCTTTATGTGCTTCCTGTAGGATAAGGAAGCAAGACGCAGAGAAGATGCCAAGCAGTCTCCATGATAGCTTCTTTCCAATATCAGGAGTTTTCCTAAAGAGGATCGCCATAAGCCAATGTGTTGACCTTTAGGTTTTAGAATGATAGTAACCAGAAAGTAATAATATGAACTGATAAAATTAGAAGAGAACAGGATTGGAATAGAGAAGCAATATAGTTAAGATAAAAGATTCTTTTGGAAAGGCAAGAAAGAAGTAAAGCCTACTTTTACCTACCTGACTAGCTTGCTGGCTTGGCGCCACCTACAGCCACAGCACTGGACCCTCAAAGACCTTCGATTGAACTGTAGACTAGACCTGATTTTTCCAGTGAACTGTAGGTGCCTGGCTTTCTGATTCTACCTCTACATTATGAGGCCAAAGTCAGAGGCTTGATCCTTATGCTAGTCATTGAGCACCAGTTTCATGGTCAACAACTCTTCTTTTAATCTCAACATAACGTGTTATAAATACCATCACTTACACTAAAGGGATTCGTGAGAGAAGATGTGAACCAACAATGCAAACCCATTATGAATACTGGAAAAATACCTAGGAAAACTTGACCTGTGAGTCAGCCCATGGAACAAATTTCATTTAAGAACCCCTTGATGTCTTGGGCTTCAAGGTAAGACAGATGTTATGGAACAAGTATCTGCTACTTACTGGTTCTGTACACCATCTTGGACAAGTTAATTTTCCAAAGCCAAAAAGACAAAACACATTCAAAGTCTCAAGAAGAGCTTGACATATAAGGGACTAACACAGGTTATGATAGCCCCAGCCCCCTTTGTAGCCCCCTGGCATGTCAAAAGCACATGGATGAAACCAGGCTCACCTGTGTCCCAATCCTGGTTTTACAGCACACTACCTATGGTGTCTCATCTTTCTCATGGAACTAGGAGAATGAACGAAAGCATTCAGATAGTGCCTAGTACACAGCATATGTTAACAAACAGCACTCTTTATAAATATTATTAAGGAGGCATTATTATCACCATCTATGTTCAATGGTTTTCAAAGTATGGTCAGGAACTATAGGTTTCAGTATGCCTGGAGATGTCTGGTGATCAATAAACAAACAAACAAACACCCCCAAAACTATGTCCCACCCTAGCCTATTCACTTATTTGCAAAAGCTCTCCAAGAATAGTACCAAGTAATATTCATTTCTGAATCAAACTTCCTTGAGATGCGCATGAAAATGCAAAACTTATTGGTCCAGCTGGTTTTGTGCTGTGTCAGTAAATTAAGACTTTTTTCCCCAACATTTATTCTTTACTACGCCAAGAAAATTGCCCCAGTCTCTGATGGGTTTTCTTTGGCACTGTTCTGGATGCAGATATTAAACTGATGGCTTTGTGTTGTCTAGGTTCAGTCCTGACATGTTTTTTTTTTCTCTAGTGGAAGTATTTTGACTCCCTCCACAGTGTACCCACCAACTCCCAGTGGGCAAGATTGGTCTGCAGACCTCAACCTCCAGAGGGAGTGTGTGTTTAAAAGGTTTTTAAGGAGGGTGGGGGGAGATATTGATTTGACAGAGCAAAGTCTAAAATATTCATTATTTGAAACTTTACAAAAAAGTGTACCAGATATTTTGTAGCTTACAATTAAGTGATTTTAGCCAACAATTTACTTTTTAAAAAAAATGATTAGAAAAGAAAATATCACAAAGCAGTGCACCTAGAAGGAATACTGTTGCCAAAGCTTCAGGAATACATGTAAACATGTATGTCCACAGCATAATGATCAAACATTATGAGGTTGCAGTCAAAAGTTTTCAAAGTCCTTGAGGGTCAGGCAGGGGAATACATAGCACAACCAGTTAACAAGTATTTACTAAAACTCCAGTTGAATAATTTTACAGTAAAAGTATCTTGGAAAATATAAAGCCAAATAAAATATCCTGCTGCTTACAAGTTAACAGCTTGTTTCTTACCATTACAAAATGAAAATTACATCTTTTCTGTGCACAAATACCCACTGTCATAGGGAGAATATGGAATCATCAATGCACAGTACTTCAAGAGCATTATACAAACAAAATATTTTAGTTACATTAACAATACTATAGGAATACAGGTTCAAGACTCTTAGTTCCTAGCTCCTTCTTATCTGGGAAACAGGTCCTTTCCTTTTCTTTGTGTGTGTGCATGTCTGTGTGTGCATGCCTGCATGTGCACAGATGTGTCGGGAGCATAAAATAAATATTAGATGCCTCTGTCTTTTCTATGGCATCCATTATTGGCTTCTCCTTTTCATCTACATAAAATAGTACTCTTTCTCTTGCTTCTAATAAGAAAAGCATTTGATTAATTTTGTGTGTGTGCACACAAAAAGAACAATTAAGACTATGATTACCCTATTCTGGGAAACACTAAAAAGTGCCCACAATTTAAAATTTAAGTAACAATCTTCCCTTTTATCTTCATAGTGGACTAATTTCCAGGTTTCTGTGATTGTTTTAGAAAAGCTAAAAAAAAAAAAAGCATGAATTTTATAACTCACTTAAATGTGTGATTAATTCTGCAAAGAAAAGAAACATCTTCCTAGGAAGGGACATGAGGAAATGAAATGACACTTGAAAATGTTTTCATTATACAAAATGCACTGTGGATGCACAAACCACAGCAGTATAAATAAATAAAAGCTGGTGCAATGCTACATGTATGTTTGCCTTACACCACAAAGAGAAAATACTTGCACATTTGCACAAGTATTTTATTTTAGCTTGGGATACCATAAAAAATGGAATTTAGGCATAATGTGTAAATACAGGAGGCTGTGAAGGTGCGTGTGTGTCTGCGTGTGTTAGGCAAAGAGGGTTGTAAGCAGAAGGGGTGGGACTTGCCAAAAGCAGCTATTTGAGAAAATTCCTTTTCTTTCCCATTCATTCTTTCTAGCTTCAGTGTCTGGCACAGTCCTTACAATTACTCACTGGCTTTTCATTCTAAAGACAACCAACAAGCTTTCAGAACTTCCTACAGTGTTTTTCACACACTTTTCATTTTTTTAAAAAGCACCCAATCATTCAATATGTGTTTTATATTAAAACAACAAGCCATTAGTCCAGTTCCTCATTCCAAAGACCCCTTGAGTTACAGGCTAAAACGAATCCTTTGTTGTGTGTCCAAAAATAACATAAGACGATACTGGTAAATTGGAAAATAATACATTACTGTTTCCAAGAATGTCACAGATATTACCATAAATTTTGAATTACCCTAGTGAGTCCTATTCCATGCTCCTTTTAGTGAATCTACAGTCCTGACAACAGCAAAGCCAATCACATTGAACAGAACTCTCTCTGCCTTTTCTCTTTGGACACCCCAATAGTAAATTCAAGGGCTGAAAGAGGATGCCCAGTGGGCCAGGTTCCTTTATTCACAATGGTGTCCTCCAAGCGAAATATCTCCAACCACAATGAAAGTTGTCCTCCCAACGGATGCCCACCCTAAACCGGACCAGGAAGAGAGCAGGCAGATGGGCCGAGGGAACCATAACCTTTCAGCTCTCGCACTTCCAGAGGCGGGGAAGACGGGGAGGGCATGACAAGAGAGCAGAGTAGGAAGGTGGGCGAGTGGGAGAGACAGAAATGGATGCTGAGGGGGTGGGCGAGATGAGAAGGTAGGGAAGGTGGAGAACGCGGGGTGAGGTGGGTGAGCGAAGCTGCATGATTCAAGAGCAAAGGCGGGGAATGCTAGTGGGCAGCAAGGGGACCCGGGGGCGTGGAGGTGTCTGGTCCTCACCGTTGAACGCTCCTGCGTCCGCGGCCTCCTCCTCCTCCTCGCCGTTCTCGGAGTCGGAGCGCATGGGCTCCTCGGCGAAGTTGACCCCCTTGCTGGGGGTGCCGCCCCCGGCGGCTGCGCCCGCGTCCCCCCAGGTCCTGCCCTCATGGCCGAAGCGTGCGGCGCCTTTGCGCTCGTTCTCCTGCTGCAGGCGCGTGAAGTGCTGCAGCGCGAACTCCAGCAGGTCCGCGGGCTGGTGCCTCAGCACCTCCACGGTGAAGCCCTGCAGCAGCTCCGTCAGCCCCGCCGGGATCTCGATACTCATCCTGCCTCCGGGCGGGCGGGCACCTGGGCTCCGCCCTCGCCCCTTTCCTCGATCCGATCTCGGGCCCCGCGGCCGCGAAGCGAGCGCCGAGGGTGCAGGAGGCGC